CCAATGACCAGCAATTCCTTTTTGAATTTGACTCCGCTCTCATTTCCTTGAAGAAACTTGTTCAGATATTTGTATTGTAAACGATTTCGAACTTTTGAATAACGAAGCACACACATTATTACCTCCGCGCAACGGAGTTGCAGGGAGGTAATGTAATCACTCTCGTGTGTGTGTTCGTGTGTGTGTTCGTGTGTGTGTTCGTGTGTGTGTGTAGCGTTGGCGCGATCGATTCAGCACCAGCTCGCCTTAGGGCGTCCAGTCAGCAGTAACCAGCAGCGAGCCAGCTGTTATACACATGTACGCTCGCGGAGGTATGCACTCTCTTTGAGTGCCCTCTGTCTAGTTTCATCTGCGCTACTGTCTAAACTTTTGCTCATGTCCATGTGTTGACGTCACACATCCTCCATCCCGTCTCCGTGTCACCTTGCATTTCAATGACAGAGTCACATTATTCATACTACTAATTTATTCCTCTGTCAAGGCCATGCATGCAGTCTTTATGTTTTACTAAATGACTTTTCATCGAGCATGAAAGCGTCGGGAGCAAGTCCATCAGAGCACGCGTGAATTCTTTACCGGCTGTCGCACATAAAATGTTTGACAGGAATATTTTACAATCGGCTACCAGCAATTTCCCGCCGATTTCACTAGTTCTTGACGCGTCCACAATGCACCAACCTCATTGTGCATTCGCACGCATGCGCACTACGCGACTTTCCCTTTCAGACCTATTTTGATCGTTTAGAACTTTAGAATCTCTGGCTATGGAAGGAATTTCATGACACAACCATCTACTCGCCTGTAGCGGGGAACACTAACCGGTGCATGTCAACATTAGAGCTTTACCTGTCTTACATAACTTCTTACTTTTCTTCTTGCTCTTTTGTTCTTCCTCTGTATAGACCTACCCTGACAACGCCGTCAAAAACGAATTAGTCACGCCCGGGTACGAGGCGGAACGCCCCATCGTCCGAGGTATATATTTTGCTCACCTATAGAGTGAGACAAAAGTTTTACTTACCTATAGTAAGGCAAAACTTTGACTTACCTAAAGTGAGGCAAATATTTGGCTCAGCTATATTATATATATATATATTGATAGGGAACTAAGTATATCGCCGTAACAAATCCCTGCTCCAAGGACGTGTCTAAAGTCGGTAAACAATACTAATATTTGCAACTTAAAGCTTTATACTAACAGTTATACAACATTTACAGAACAACAAACAATAAATTATAGTACACGAAAACAACGTTTTATTATTATATAGTTTTATTATATCTGGAAATGAGAGCAAACATGTCGGCTGAAAGAAAGTTAAATTATAGCTGGTTTTAAATTTCCGTTAAAGAGATCTGATAAATTTGTATTGGTAAATTATTGACGATTCGCACACATATGCCTAATACGTAAGAATTTGCTTACTATACAACGACGTTTTTTCATGATTAAAAGACAAACTCGATTCAAGTAAATATCTTTTATTATTTCTGTCATCCGAATTACCACATTGATGCATTGAACACATTGAAGAAAAAAGTTTTAATGTCCAATTCGTTATTTAGGTGACCCGGTTTTGGCCGCTGGAACGTGGCCATGGCAGGCTCTGGTGTTATACGAAGGCAACGCTCACTGTGGCGGATCCCTCATCAACCCATGTCACGTGCTCACGGCGAAGCACTGCGTTCAAAGTCGCGTCCCTACAAAGCTGGCAGTCGTGATGGGAGAGCACCAGCGTTCTGTGGCCGAAGGTCGAGAGCAGACGCGGAGAGTAATCCGCTTCATTCAACACCCGTCGTGGGACCTCGCCATTCTTCAGCTAGAGCAGAGCTTTACGATTAACCAATTTGTGAAGCCCGTCGATCTAGCAACCGTAGAGCCTACGATACCCAGTCAGACCATAGTCACCGGATGGGGTCAAATCGATCCGAACACGGTGATCGGCGGTAGGTTGGCCGATACGCTGCAGTTTCTACAGATTCCGATCGTTGACAAGTCCAAATGTTATCGCGGGTATTCCTGTTTCTTCGCAGCGCTGTGCGCCAGGTCCCCAAGCGACGGCGGACTGTCGCAAACGCCTGTGGGATATGTGATTTGGGTTGGACTTTTGGTGCACGGAGACAAGGCAAATATCAGGCGGTGGGGTCGTTCAGGGGGGAAAGCCCCGGCTGTCGCGACAACAAGTCAGTCCTCGCGGTGGTATGTGAGCGTCGCAGCTTACAGCTGGATAACATCAGGTTCCAACCACTACGATACAACCACCGCCAAGGAGGGACGACACTGTCTATGGCCTGGTTTACACGTTTTGCTGCCGCTGACAGGGACATCGAGCCTCATATAGGATCATCAAAAATGCTGAGAACACGCACGCACGCACGACGCCACGCCCAACGCACACGAACACACAGCTACAACGTTAAGACAAGACACGTGATCGACACAAACTGAGACGTAGAATGCATTAAGAATATCGAAATACGCGTGTTTCAATAAAAGTCATTATTTTACATTGTCTAGTTTACAGTTAAATCGCGCTCTCTCTCGATTCTCTCGGCTATATATATATATATATATATAATATATATATATATATATATTACGTACGTCATTGGTACGTATATTTTTATTTCCGCGCTGTGTGGCTTAGTTACTTGCGTATATGAAAGCCGGTAATACAATTTTCCGGGTTAAATAATATTTAGTTACTACCTATACGAATAATATTGGAATATTTAATTAGCTTAAAAGAAGGCCGATTCCTCTTGATTTGACATATTTATATGAATATATGTATATATATATGCCGGATAATAAAAATATTTTGTGTATTACTCTATTTTATATTATTATACGTTTTATCATATATCTGTATTTGAGGTCTCTCACTTTACACATTATTTAAATCACTCATGCCTTTACTTATTTCGCATACTTATTTCCACTTAGGAAATACTACTAGGCCTATTGATCAACGCGGGGTCAACGCACAATATAATGGCCTGTTCTTAGAAATCAGTTCTCAAATTTTCAGTTCAAACCCTGGCTGATGGCGAAGTTTCAATTTTTGACACACGCACGCGCCCACGTACACAAGCAAAGGAAGTTTTGTCATGTATTATCAGGAATGTATAATATAGAGTTTTCTCTATATTAAACACTCCCAGGGCCGTAGCCTGCGGGGGGGGGCAAGGGGGCAGCTGCTTCCCCTAGATTTTGGAGCAAAATTAAAAAAAGAAATTGTTATACTAAAAGAAAATGGTCGTAGTCAGAATGAAGGCTGTACATGTACTCAAAAGTGCCTCAAATACAATCTCCTGGATTTGCTAGACATGCTAATGTGTGAGCATGCTGCATAGTTTCTTTCCCACCCGCTGGCAGTGAATTTATACTCAATGCCACTTCTGAATCCACCCGGGTAATAACGTTCATGGTTCAGTGTTTCACTAATGGCAGAAAGCGATGGCTGTAGGCAATTTTTGTTCGTAAGTTCTCGATTTCAATTTAAAGTTCTCGATGCACGCGACACAAGCATGCCGCACGCGAATAAGAGCGCATAACCTCCGAGGGTATGTATGCTTACAGGTGCACCTACCAGTTTGCTCTGTTTTTTACTAATGGGGTACTACTTGGTATAAATAAATCTGCTTGCTCGGCCCCACAGCTACCTTCGTGGAAATGACTGACATCATTCATTCATCCATTCTTTATCAGTATTAATCTAATATTAATAATGAATTAGATATATTCTAGACTGGCCCTACAAAACATCCATTATCCACTCGATATCTATTGCGAGTCCACAGGCAGTTGTATAGTTATTGCTCCTGTATTCCGCATGCTCTCTCTATGAACCTATAACCAGAAATATAATACTCCTAGTATAATGGACAAACTTTATGATACTTTGCGTGCACTGCACTCAGGCAAGCGGCAAGTAATTCCCTTCACTTCACGCATGGTTTCACGTAGCGCGATGACCGCAATTTCCTGTCTGACTGCCGGGATTGCCTTGAATGGGCAAACTGATTAACGAAAACTTTGGAGAAGGAAGAAAGAATGGATCAGGAGCGTATCACGAAGTGGTTGTAATTCGAGCGTCTGCTGCCGACGACCTGGCCATCGGTGAAGACGCCGCTCGCCTGCAGCCGCCGCATCTCGGCGAGCACGTCGTTGCCGAGGAAGCTGTCGACGACGCAGACGCCGTGCTGCAGCATCGTCTCGACGACGTAGCGGACGAGCATCTGCTGCTGGCGCTCGGCGTGCGGATGCTGCGAGCCGCGGGTTTCTTCGGCGACCGGCCCGGCGTTCGGCCATCCGGCGCCGCTCAGTTTGGCGAGCAGGAGCTCGTCCGTTCCGCGTGAAATGATCATCGCCATCGCCGTCGCTTGTCGTCGCTTGTCGTGCCTCGCGTGGATCCGCCGGAGATGGCTGTTGCCATGCGTGTGCGCGCGGATGCGCTAAGGCTGCCCTCGCCCGTCCGCCTTTCGCTCGCCCGACGAATGTTGCAAAGCTTCGGAGTAGATGCGTACTGAACTTGAGACGAGTTTTTTACAGCTTGCCAAATTGGGCCAGAAATTTTTGTCGTCTCGAAAAAAATATATTTGATACGAAATAAATTCAGACGAAATTTGCGAGGAAATTGGTTAATTCCGTCAACGCCGCAACAGATCCGTGCGTAAATTGTAAAACAACAACTTGTGAATCACTGAATGACCAAGTCACCAACCATGCAATTATCACTATCAGTATCAGTAATGACAGTATCAGGAGATGTAGCTCCAAAAAACGGTCTTGCTAGGATTAGAAGACCTGTATAGACAATCGGTCGCACAGCCTGGTCGGGCTACAGGAGATGTAGTCGGACTACTCGGACTACCATTTACCACCAAAACTTAGATTAGATTAGACAGATCGGTCTGCGTTATGACTGATATCTCGCGCGCGTTATGACTACCTTGCTTCCTGCGCTGCTGATAACGTGTGAATGAATAACGCTAGAACGGTTGTCCATCGTGCTTAGAAATTCGACAGCATTCATGAGAGCCGGTCGTGGTAAAATACGTAAGAGGGAGGGGAAGGGAAGACAGACAGGGGTTGAGGGAGGGGGAAGGGAAGGGGGAGACGCTCACTTCGGTCACGAGCGATCGTTCGCCCGGACGCGCGGCTGCATGTATCGAAGTACGCGCGCGGGCAAGTGACTCGCGCGTTAAATCCGGTTTAACTCTTGTTAACGCCCGCAGGCGGTGGGATTTTACACGCGCACTCGGGGCCAGATCCGCGGCCCATATATCCTCGGTGTATTATCCCAGCAGCTGCGGATCCACCCGCTCTTTCCACGACCAAGTACGGTCGGCTAATTAGTGTTAATAACCAAAGTACGGACGTCTAGCTTAGTATTGTTATTTACTATGATTTGAGCGCCTAATATAATTGTTGTTAGTTATTTTTTACTTTGACATGGGCGCCTTATTATTGCTAGTTACGAAAGTACGTGTTCTAATTAAATTGTTATATTTTGTTAGTAGTTGAGGCATCTATAATTATTAACAGTTATTAGACGATGTGTCTTTAACTATTGTTATTATTAATGATTAGGCGCCTAATTATTGTAATTATTAATACATATGGGACAAATTATTGTTACTATTAAAGCATAGGTTACAAATAATAACGAATGGCGTATTAATGACACGCCAGTTATGCATATTGTCTCTCAATAACGATGACGTCCAATATATTAGAGCAGACATCAACCATTGTGCATATATTTCACCATCAAATAGTTAAACAAGTGCCGGGGAGCGACAGCTTTCATCAGAGACACATTTCACGTCTACTGCGGTGACTCTGTGGTGGAGTGGTGGGATTCTATTAAACCCTGTTAGTCCCAAATGTGTTTACATACACGCCGAAACAGTGGAAGGTACAGGGATGGTATCAGGAACTTTCTCGAAGGAATGTTCGTTGGGATCGTTATGAAAGTTGCCACGAGATGGCGCGTACGTTTAAGTGTCTTAAGATTAAAGATGGAAGTAGGTTCCCATCGTACGTAGTAGCAACAACTATTTGCAAGACAGAATAGGTAAGCACTCATCCATTTACCTACGCAAGCCTACAGGTTGAAATAGAGAGCTACCACCTGTGACTAATTAACGCAGGCAAAAACTACACAGTACTATCACCACCACGTGCACTGGCAAGGTACATGTAACACACTGACAGTACAGAATGCCATAGAAATTATACGATTTAAGGAACATGAATCTTCTTCAACTAAATTTAGCTTTTTAAATTTTACTGTGACATTGTAGCCTCATACGTCCAGGCATGTATAGATTCTACTAGCAAACCCGGCAGTCAAATTCTTTCTAACAGTAAACAAATCCATGTTTAACCC